CAAAATTACTAAGCTTGCGCCTCTTAGAACTTAAAATTAGAACCAATAAAATCATTATCCTATCTATGAATCTTTATAGATGCAAAACTTGGCAATGTCTTAAGGTTTTTGAAAATAAAGTATTACGTAAAATATTTAGACCGAATTGCGTGCATTGTATCAGGTTAATTGAGGTGATTACATTGCGGCGAATAAAATGGTCTTGTAAAATTGTTAGACTTAGTAACAAAAGACTTCCTAAACAGTTAATATCTGCAGTGACTTCTGAGGGGTAGACGGAAGAGAAGGTGGAAAGATTGCGTAAGGCCTATCTGAAGAGACTGGGTTTAAACAGCGAAGGATGGAGGGAGGTTTGTAGACTGAGATTGATTGTGTTGGCATGGAACCTCCAAGTTCGCTAAGCCTCTAATTATTTATTTTATGTTCTTCCTAAAATAAAACATTCAATTCTTTGACAGGGATATTATTTAACTTTCACATACCTATATGTAAAATATATAGTTAAAGAACTTGAACGCATACAAGACTTTTTAAAAAGATTTGTTTTGAATGACAAACATAGACATGGTAAATATTAAACTATCTAGATCTAATCTGGCATAATAACTAGCTAACAATTACTGAATGAGACTGTTTTCTCTGATTATCTCATGGGGTTTAAATAGGAGTAGCCAGAAAATGAGACCCAGTGGGTCAGACCACTCTCTCTACTTCCTCCTCCTCCCGACATCTCTGGGAAATTCTATCCACCCTAAGAGAATACTCTTTCATATCCACTTCAACATTTTGTTAGATTGATAGGAAAATTGACATATACTAATATTTAAACTTGATATAGTAGTGGAATACCTACCTCTCCTGAACAAAACTCACGACTTATTATATTTAATTTATCAAAAATTATTTACTTATCAAAATATTTTTTAATCTCACAGTCTTTTATTATACATTTAAAACAAGATATCAAAATTATTATTTTTTTAACGTTTTGGAGCGAAGAGCCATTTTCAAAAATTCGTTTTCTTTTAAAAGATTAAATATAATTATTTAAAAATCTCACAAAAAATATGAATAACCTAAAGAAAGTTGTTTATCATAAAAATTCGAGACTTTCGGATATTTACTTGTACTGATATTTGGTATGAAATCTATTTGCCTGAAGCCGTAATGTATAGTGAAAGGCACCTGACTATTACACAAATTTAAATATAAATCTACCAAGATGTTTAAGTAGATATGGAAGTACGTTCTTTTAGGGTGGATAGAATTTCCCTATTTCTGTAGTCAGGTTTTTATTTTTTGATTCAAATATCTTTGTTTTTACATTATTTATTTTTAGCTGAAAAATTTTAGAAGTGTACCAATGCTATGATGTATTCTCTCTCCCCTTTGTTTAATCTAAACAAATACATTATATATTCAAGCACATATAATAGATAAAACAAAAAAAATTATCAAATAAAAATCCTTACAATTATACAAAAATATAAACAAATTAATTTTAAACATGCAATATTGTATTTGTTTTTTTAACAATAATTATGTTTTTTTGTTTGTTTTTCCCATCGCTCCCCCCAATTGAAATCAAAAGTCTATGTGAATGACATATTTTGATTTCAATTCAATTTGAAACTCCAAAAATTCATAACCTCCTCAAAAATGTGTACCACTTGAAATTCAAGACCTCATAAAAATGTGTCCCCTCAAAAGGCGGAACTGGTGCCATACAACCACTTGGGTACCCCTGATCAGAAATAAATATCAAATATGCAAAATTATCCTTTCTGCTATAATGTTGCTTTTTTCAACCAAAGACTTAGCCATAATTACTTTACTCTTATTTTTACTATTAATTTTTGGTGTAAATGTGTTCATGTATCACTATAATTATTTTCTACAAGATAGATTATTATATCTAAAAAAAAAACTATTAATTTTATTATAACTGAATATTAAGACACTGATTTTTTTTTTTTTGTATTATTGCCATTAAACAGAGTGTATTCCATCTTGAGGAAATGTTAAAGTCAGATTCGTCTTTTTATTTATGGATTAGTTATGTAATGAATTAAAAAAGAAAATTATTTTTGTAAAAAAAAATTGAGTTAGCTTAAAAATCTAGATAGGTAGAAGGGTGATAAAAATAAAAAAGTTTTTAATTTTTTAAATAAAAAACCAACATTTTCTTAATTTATATAAAATCAGAAAAACTTTTTCTTTTCATAAGTAAAGAGCTTAAATCATTTCCTTAATGCTATAATTATAATTTCTAAAAGTAAATAAAATCAATCTTTAATCCTCAATATCATCTCTGATTTGAAGTTCTTCACTTTCTCTTAAAACCTTAGAAAGTAAAACTTGAGAGCTTTCCAAAATCTAAAAGAAATAAATATATATTTTAGCAAAATTATTTTTAAAAACTTACCAAGCTATAAGAAATAAACATTAATTAAAATATTACTAGATATCGTCAGCCCTACGCTGAACTTATAAATGTGAAAATCATTACATTTCAGAAAAGTAAAACTTTTGCTTTCTTCTGTGGCGCCTTTAATGTTTTTATCTAAGTGTATTAATAATACATTTAATACAAATATATACGTTTCTGTTATCTAATAAAATATAGTCTATTAACAAAACAAAATTATAAAAAATTATTTTTCTTACTAAATAAATTTCAAAATATTTACAACCTTAACTAAGATCTAAAACATGAAAAAAAAAAAAATTGAACTATTGATATGCTTTTTAAAACAGAGATACAGAATCCTCGGTTCCCAACACCAGGAAATGGCACTGGAGTGTCATAAAGTACGCCAGGGGCACCACAACAATGATATTTAAAGTGAATATTTAATTGGTAAAGTCAAAATCGTTAATTCGATAAATAGGAATTCCAAAATTCACAACTTTTATGTTTATCAATAACAGAATTAAATTTAAAATCAATTAAATTTATGATAATATCACGGAACTATTTTATTTGATTTATATATATTGTACCAAAGGGAGTAAAGGTCTATAATATTATCACTTTACACATAACTGTTTAACAATTTCTTTTTTAGCTCAATAACGGTGCCACGAACAATTTTCAGACACACAAGGGTGCCATGGCAATAAAAGTTTGACAATAGCTGCTCTACATGTTGGTAACAAACTGTTTTGAGATGGATTTTGAATGAAATTTTGATGAAGTTATGGTTGACGTGGGTAAATAAATTCGATGGTGGAGAGGGGAGGGAGAGAATATGATAATTAATTGGGTTAAATGAAGTTACACCGTCGCTTTCATTTCAACTTCCCTTTATACGAAAATATCTACTTTAAGGTTGGTAAGTGAAAGTTGTGTAATGCGCGCACCAAACCAGATTTTTTTATTTCAAACAAATTCGTTTTTAAAAGTTTTAAAGGATGCTAAAAATGAATCAGAATCATTTCTTCATGATAAACAGGCCTGCTTCTCTGAGTCTTTAAGTTTATTATATAATTTATTATATATAAGAATTTGCTTATTACAATTAGCAATATATTTTTCTTATTAGACAAAAAAAAAAAAAAAAAAACCTATTAATATATATAATAACTTAGAAATACATGCAGAGCAAAGTCAGAAAACACTAATATAAAAAATAAAGTTTTTTTTTCTCAGCTCCTAGGGCACATTGGAAAGAACTCTCGGATATCTATTATTTAGCAACCTAGTATCACTAAAAAAAGTTCATCAGTTAACCCATGTCCATAAACTCCCCTTGTAAGTGTCAAATAGTTGAATAAAATGCTGAATAAATATTTATTATATTTGTTAAAATGCCTATTGGCAATAGAATAAGCAACAAATTCCATTTCAATGGTGGAGTGAAACAAGGTGATGCTCTGTCAGCCATATTGTTTAACCTAGCTCTGTGAAAAGCCCTAAAGACAAATGAACCGATAAAATGTTTAGCAACACAGACTTCACTAATTCTAGATAGGCAAATGATATACCAGTTGTTGGAAGAAGTAAACAAGCAATAAGAGAAATTCTTACTGAACCAGTATCCAAATATAAAGATCTGGAGATATTTGAAGCAAAAACAAAATATATGGTGGTGTCTTCATCTGAAGCGAGAACGTCGGCCCATTTCCAGTTTAATGGTACTCAAGGTTGGAAGCAGTTGAGCACTTTAGAAACCTTGGAGTATTACTTAGGCACCTATTAAATGTGAAAACAAGGAGAGTGAAGAAATCAGGAAACAAATCGTAGTAGAGGACAGAGAGTATTATGGTATTGCAAACCTCTTCAAATCAACATTTCTCTCTAGAATTATCACAATGAAGCTTTACAAATCATTTGTAAGACCTGTTCTTACAGGGCATAGAAACCTGGATTCTAAAAGTTACTGATAGACACATGCTAGGTGTGTTTGAGATTCCGAGGTATTTTTCTGGTTTACGTCCAGGGTGTGGGGTACATTAAAAATAATCAGGAACTGGAAGATTTAATAAAGAATGAGAATATATTAAGCTTCATAAAATCATGTAGAAATAGCTGGGTCAATCATGCGCAGAGTGTGGAAGATTAACTCGAACTAAAAATTACAGCATTGGGAACTGAATCCGGTGCTTTGAGAAAGATAATGTTCGCAACAAGGAGTATCATCTATTAAAACCATACCTATTTTTTTTTTTTTTTTTATCTCTTAAAATAAGTCTCTGTAAGGTAGAGATGGTAATAAAATACCCAAAAGCAAAACTGATATATTTATATGCATATTTTCCGTTGATCTCTGGCTCTTGAAAACAAAATTCGATTAATAAATATTTGGTAAAAGTTTTTACGGGAAAGATAAGTGTGGGTTTCCATGGGATGACAAATAAAATAATGAAAGAGAACTTGTCAGAAAAAAAAAAAAAAAAAAAGAGGATGCCTTTGGAGATAATGGCTGGATGACCAAGAGGATCTGGCAAGAATTGGAATAACTGGATTGAAACAGCTAGAGCTGGATAGATGGGATGTATTAAACCAAATTATACAAGAGGCCAAACTCCACATCAGACTGTAATGGTGGAGACTGTAAAGTTAGGAAATTATATAAAATAGAACAAATAGATAACAGAATCAGAAACTATTTTGAATAACATAAAACTGTAAAATAATAATTTTTTCACTTTCTAGAAAAAAAAATATAAATGATCTTCCTGACTAAACATACAAACAATCATAAATTGTTCTTGTTTCTTATGAGAAAATCCAGTTAGTTTTACTACTGAAAGTAGTGATTTCATATTTTTTTTTCTTAAATATTAATTTTGATAATAAAAATATTCCATCAATATACCTTCATAAAAGCAGATTCAGCTTCTTTTATAGCTTTATCACAATTCTCTAAGAGAGTTCTTTTTTGTTTTATATTGGTAGATAAACCATCCAATTTCATTTGCAATTGTTGCATTTCGTTTTCTAGAGTGTGTTTGGCAGCTTCTTCTTGTTCTATCTCATGGGAAAGTTCTTGTCTTTTAATTTTTAATTGTTCAATACCTTAGGTAAAAATAAATAATCTTAGACTGTATTAATAAATAATTTATTTAGCAAATTCTATAAAAATGAAAAAAACAGAGCATAAAAAAGTTCATGTTTTAAACCAGAAAAAGAGATAACTTACATTCTTTCATAAATTATGAAAAAATTACTGAATTAATAGTTACTAATTTAAAAAATTATCTCTACAACTATGTTAAATAAGAATTAGAATTCAATTAAAAGGATGTGATTGCCGAGAATGTTGCGATATGGGTACCAGAGTGGCCGGTCCAGAACATTGAGGGTTTAATTCCCACCAAGGACAGTTAATATTTATTTCTTGGAGGCTAGGCAAATGAATCATGACTCTGCTACTATAACAAGAATATGGCAGCAACTTCAAGATAGCCAGCTGTCTAGGAATAGCAAAAACGGCTACAAGGCCCACTTCCTGTCTAATTACCCCACTAATACCACTACCATAAATTAAAACAAAAGTTGGAACTATCTATTATTGGACTTTATAAGTTATATCCAAATCATCAAAATATCATTTAAAAGATGGCTAACAGATTTTTTGATTAATGCAATATCTAAAAGATATACCTGTCGATACCACTAAGATGTTAAAAAGACATTTTTAAGACGTATGAAAAAATATATAAAAAAGATCTCTACAAGTTGACCAAAAGATATCTGAAAACAATCTGAAAGTTATCATTATGAGATCTTTAAAAAAGATATAATTGTAAAGGAAAAATAAATAGAAACATCCATATTAATCTGGTATAACAAATTGAACTTGACTTTTTTACAATCGTAAATGGAATTTGAATAAAATGTTTTGCTATTGTTTCTTGTTTTGATTAAGAAGATTGGGTAGGAATGGTGAAAAACTAACAAGGAATGGTTTGTTTGCCATCTTAATTATACTTATACTTAAACCTCATGCTTCTTGACACTTCTCTTAAACCTTTGTTTCCATCAACCATTCCATCCTGTTCAACAAACTACAATTATTATCGAAGAGAAGGATGGTATATCAGTCAAAATAAAAGAATCATGACAATTTTTAATTCTTTATTATTCAATGTTTATAGTTTCTCAAACCTATTATTATCTGGATCTTTTCTTAGCCCTGAACTTCAGGCCGAAACGTCAGCAAACATAAAAATAAATATAATTATTTATTTTTATTTTGACCGATCACCCCAATCATCCTTCTCTTCAATTATTCACTACAGTAAACCATCAACCCACAATTACAATCATTATGCTTCTCCAATAGTTACAATCTTTCTTCTCACAATGTACCTAAGCAGTTTCCATACCTAATCAACCACTATCTGCCTACTTTTCATTATCCTCTCGAGTTTTCCAGGGTTCAAGCATATTTCCTCACCTTTCCTATATTGACGACCACATGTGGAAGTGTTTCAATGCAATTTAAATAAATATGTGTGGAAGTTAGGAATAGAGGACACATATATGTTTCAGCAGGACGATCCCAAGCACACAGCCAACAAAACCATAATGATTACTGTATAATATTCCAAAAATGCTCAAAACACTCCCATAATCACTGGAAAATTTGGTACTTGTGCTTTAGCTGGTCATCAGGGAACCTATCTTTTAATCTTGTGTACCTCTTTCTCATAATTTCATTGTTTTCAGTTTTTTTCTTGTTATTTTTATATTTAAAATAAATATAATAATACTTTGGCAATTGTCGTCTTTGTAAAAAGAAGCTATGAAATACTACTAGAAGTTCGGAATAATTACAAAGATGAAATTGTGCGAAGGTCATCAAATGGAGTTTGATAGGAAGACCAAATGGAGATGTTTTCGCTGGAAAAACATTTCTATAAGAAAAAGAAATAAGTAAGTGGGGCAAAGAGCAGCTATTGAACAGAAGTCTGATCAAGTGGAACATATTTTTGACAGAGGTAGTGTCCATAACATGTAACACAGGTCAATAAAAAAAATTTGAAGTGGTTGAAATGGACGAGTCTTTTTTCTGAAGGAAAAAATCATGTAGAGAGAGTGCTCCTTGAACAATGGATGTTTGACAGAGTTTGTCGAGAAATAGACGAGCGTTTCATTGTAAAAATAAAAGACAGAAAAGTGACAAACGTATTAAAAATAATACATATAATATACAAGAGAGAACCGCTATATATTCTGACTGTTGGAAAAAATATAACTAAGTAAAGGAAACTATAACCATAAAGGTGAATCATAGAGCTCAGCTAAGTGGAGGAATAAAAACTGTGAGAAAATACCTGGATTCATATTTATATGATTTTTATACTGGCTGGTCCCCTTCCTAGCATTTTAAATAGCATTAAGCTTTTTTGTCTCCCAAAATAAATAAAATGTTGTAAAATAAAAGTAGTTAGTATTATTACATTTCTTTTTGTCTATTTCAATTTCCATAAATATAAATAAGCACGTTGATATTATCAATGTTTAAGTTATAAACATTGGTGGATAGCAGTCCATGGCGACCGGCTAATTCAAAAGAAACGAATTTGACAATATTCTTGTTCCTCTTGGAGTGGCTTAATAAACAATCTAAATAAAGGTTGAGAAGAAATTGGACCAGAGGAGACCAAGAGGCACCTGCAATCGATATCAAGAAGACTAAATGCTGTGATGAATGCGAAAGGGTACATTACAAAATACTAAAATTAATTGAGACTGGTATTTTTACATTTTCTTTGGGTTAGTTAAATGTACGAATACTTTTTTAGGGATTCATATTTGAAAATTTAGATATTTTTCATACATGAGCTATAAAATTTTACTTTTTGGTACAACTAATTAAAAATGAGATTTATAATTTATATTTAACTATATGACGTTGAAAACATAAATAATAAGATTTTTGACTAAAAAATATGGTGGACAGATATTTATTTTGGCCAGTGTATTGTGTATTCAGATACCCTAAGGAAGGCTTAACATAGAGCATAGGATGTCTTCTAGATATTCTTAGGTTACTATCATGTCCCAATCAAGACATTAATTAGCTATCTTTTGAATGACATCTTTCTGGTTTGGAATATATACATATCACATTTCTAGGCTAATTCACTTCAAATATCATAAGTAAATGAACAAACAAGAACTGTTTTAGTATACATAAGAGCTAAATATACCATTATTGACTAAAAACTGACTCAAACACTAATTAAATAAAAAGCAGTTATTGTGATAAAATAAACTTTTATACATTAAGAAGTAAAACAATTCACATTTCACAAGTTCTTGGTTATATTTCTGCAAAGCAGCTCCTTGTTCTCCCATATCTTAGGAACAGATATTCGAAAAGCATGATCCAAATCAAAACCAATCACCATTAACTTTTAATCTCACATTGTATAGGAGTCTAATTTCAAATCGTTCGTTATATCTACAGTTGAGCGATAGTCGATAGTACTATCGATAGTTTAAAACTATAGAAGTCTATTTCTAGTGACTATCGATAGTTTCTATCCTCCCCTTCAAAACAAATTATTTTAAATAAATAACAAAGGCTTAGCCAACCCGAAGGTTCGACGCCGACACCACCAATCGCTTATTACACACCCCCTCCACCGTTCGCCTTCCAAACCCAGACCCTTCAGAACGGCTTAAATGCAATCTTCCCACCTTCGCTTCGATCTACCCCTCGGACGTTTACCAGTCGGTACAGCAAATATTAACCTTTTAGGAATTCTCTCCTTACTAAGCCCAACAACTTTACAAGCCCATTTGATTCGCCGCGCCTTCTTCGGTCCGAATATTTTACGCAATACTTTATATTCAAAAACCTTAAGACGCTGCTCATCCCTTAATGCAAGCGGCCAAGTTTGGGAGCGGGGTAGCTCAGTGGTAGGGCACTGAGCTTCCAATGCAAAGGTCCCGAGTTCGAACCCCGGCTCATGGCAGAAAATTTATTTATCTGTTTCATTGGCCGTGGGGGCGACCTTGGGTCAGGAGTCCCTCCTGGGGCACACCCAGCCTCTATAAAGTGGGTACCCTTAATTAAGTAATTGGTTAAGGGGGAAAACCTGACGGTTGAGCGTGATCTCGGTCAAATCACCTCCTTGCACAACCGTTGACCTAGTAACAGTGCTTTCCCTAAATAGTACAGAACCCCAGACCCTTCATGGGTTGTAGTGGTACAGGTTGTTGTTGTTGTAACCGTCTGAAGAACTCTCCGGTTAACTCATCCTTCTTCGGTCCGAATATTCTACGCAATACTTTATTTTCAAAAACCTTAAGACGCTGCTCATCCCTTAATGTAAGCGGCCAAGTTTCGCATCCATAAAGAACTGTAGGCAAGATAATTGTTTTATAGATTCTAATTTTTAAGTTTCGGGACAAGAGGCGCGAACTAAGTAGTTTTGTCACAGAAAAATAACAAGCATTCCCCGCCTTCAGTCTAACCTTAATCTCTTCTTCAATTTCGTTTTTTCTAGTTATCGTAGAACCTAGATACCTAAATTTATCTACCTGTTCAAACATATTACCATCTATATCGATATCACCAGTAGTATCGCCATTTTTGCAGCTAACCATATATTTTGTTTTATCCACGTTTATTTCGAGTCCTAGTTCTTTACCGGCTTTCATTAACGTTGTCGTATTTAGTTTTATAGTTTCAACGTCTTCGCTTAACAGTACCAGATCATCAGCATAGCCCAGCACGGATGTTGTCCCGCCCAGATCCAACCCTTTCTCGGTTCGCATTACCTCCCTAATGGCATGTTCTAATGCCAAATTGAACAGGACAGGCGAAAGAGAATCCCCCTGTTTTAAGCCCGAACGAACCTCAAATTTTTCGGACAAATTATTACCGATTCTAACTTTATTGAGTGTCTCCGTCAAGCACATCCTGACTAGATTTACTAGTTTTTTTGGAATCCCCTGCTCGATTAGAATATTATACAGTTTCTGGCGGTCAATAGAATCGTAAGCCTTTTTAAAATCTATATACAGCTGGTGAACAATACCGTTATACTCCAATTTTT